CAGGCTACAGCTTCCACGGTGATGAGGTGTTGTGTATGCTTTGTTCTGTGTTGTCCTTTGTTTGTTGGTGTGTTTTTCTATTTTGATGGGAGGTAGCAAGGGCAAGGGCGGATGTGAGGGGATGGGAAAGTGAGCAGGACCCGGGTGCAGGCTGTGAAATAAAGAATCATTAAAAAGTTAAAAAACAAAAACAAAAACAAAAACAAAAAAAACGTAAGATAGTTTCATAATATTGTGTCACTACAAGGATTTTTCTTTTTCCTTTTTTTTTTTTTTCTTTTAATTTTTAAGACAGGGTTTCTCTGTGTAGCTGTCCTGGAACTCACTCTATAGACCAGGCTGGCCTCAAACTCAGAGATCCACCTGCCTCTGCCTCCCAAGTGCTGGGATTAAAGGCCTTTGTAATCATGGCTGGCACTCTATTTATTTATTTCCACAGGAATTTCAAATATGAATATCTGTGTGTGTGTGTGTGTGCCTGCCTGTGCTTTCAAGTGTGCATGTGTGTGTGTGTTATAGTGACAATTCTGAAATTTCAGTTTCCTTTTTTTTTAAATTTTTATTTTATGTGTATCAGTGTGAAGGTGTCAAATCTTTTAGAACTGGGGTTACAGACAGTTGTGAGCTGCCATGTGAGTGCTGGGAATTGAACCTGAGTCCCAGACAGTGCTCTTAACCACTGAGCCATCTCTCCAGCCCAAATTTTGGTTTCTTTAAGAACAGAGAAATATTTTAAGGACGTGTTCTGTTTTAATCCCAGGTGTAGGGATGTGGGGCTGCTTCCAACTATCCACAGTGGCTATGGTTTGCCTCACACTCTAGCAAAGGCATGGCAGCCATGATGTCTCCTCACAGCAATAGGACAATGACTAAGATGTTGGCTTCTGTTAATCTGAGTAGACCTTTATAAACTTAGGCATGTACAAGCCTTATTTATCAAAAATACCTTATTCATCAAACATACGTTGTTCCTTATCTAAAATTTTTACTCTTAGGATGAAAATCGTCATATAAAAACTATCCTCATCCAAAATACCTTTAAGACCTGCTGTTGCCCTTTTTGTCTAAAAAGGAGATGCAATGGTAAGCCAAGGGCTTGTTAGGACTAAGAAGTCTTCTAAGCGCTGCCTTGTTGGTTTCTACCCATCTGGTCTTTTAACCAAGGTGGAGGTGGAGCTACATGGCACATGCCCTTTTAACTTTAGTAGAGGTGTGTAGAATGATTATTAATATTTAATATTGATGCATATGTTAGTAAAGCAGCAGTTATTCCCTAACCAGCTATAAAACCCAAATCACCACACAGAGACTAGGATTTAGTCAATTAACCTAGAGCACAGCGTTTCCCAAACATTACTCCATCCTAAACCTCCAAACCAGTATAGCGTCTTCTGGTTCGTGTCTCCTGATGTTCCCCTGGTCCTCTCCCCAGCACTCTCCTCTTCCTCCTCCCCTCCTTGGACCAGGATGTCCCGTTCTGTTATCTTTTATTGATCAGCATTGGTTTTATTACCAATATAGAGAATAAATGGTGGCATGTTTACACAAACTTGAAACCAGATAGCCGAGGCAGAGTTCTCATTTGAATGAGCCAGGGTAAACTATGCACAATCCACAAGAACATTACGTCAACAAAAGTGCTTCCATCATGAGAAGATCATCAACCAAGATGGAGTTGAACCGTTTTCCTAAACAAGAGTTGAATCCAAGCTACACATACAGTCTGCTGTAGTAAATTAAGATTACCTTATGAACGGATTTTTAAACTTTCAATCTTTTGTTATATGTAAATAACAAATATACATACATACATATATATATGGGGGAAGCTTTCTCTGTGTAGTTCTGGCTGTCTTGGAACTTGCTTTGTAGACCAGACTGATCTCAAACTCAGAGATCTGCCTGCCTCTGCCTGCCTAAAGTTGTGGACCACTGGCTGTTTGTTACACTTTTTTTTTTTTTTTTTTCTTATCTTTCCTTTTCTTTTCTTCTTGAGACAGGGTTTCTCTTTGTAGCTCTGGCTGTCCTGGAGCTCTTTCTGCAGACAAGGCTGACCTCCAACTCAGAAATCACCTGCCTCTGCCTCCTGAGTGCTGGGACTAAAGGCGTACACCACTGCTGCCTGTCACATATTTTACAACATTTTAAAGCACGCCCAGTAAATTTACAAATCCCAAGATAGTTTACATAATAGTCTAGGAGATTTCTTTATGGGAGCGGAGAGCAAAGGAAGCACAGAGATAAGAGATTTTTTTAAGACTGGAGAGCAGAAAAAGTTTGTAGATAAGAGAGTTTACGATCATTTACTTCTGGGGTGGCGGAAGTTGTTAGGGTCTGTGAGAATTAGAAAACCGAATGTGTCAGTTTTGTGGCCATGGGTCTGTACTGTGACACGGCTTTGAGGTTTTAATGTAATCACGGAGTCTGAGAATGAAAAGAAGCGTTGCAAACAAGAACTCCTCCAGAAGGATGGTTACAATAAGCTCCTGAAAGGATCGGACAGGCATCAGGAACAAAGGTCACCGACAGGCATTCCAGGGGAGGGAGGGTTCCAGTGCTGGACAGGTCCGGAGGGCATAAGGAAGGGACAGAGCAGGCAGCTCCCAGGGGAGGTGAGGAAGTTCCTGGAAGAAGCCGAGAACCTGTGTTCCTGACGACAGGAGTGTCAACTTGGGGTATCCCCGAGTGGACTGAGAGACTTGTCAGAGAGAAATGTCCCAAATCACACGGGAGAGGCATCTTTCTATGGGATGGGGGCCCGGGGGGGGGGTAAAGGAGCCTCCTGGTACACCAATGTGGCTCTTCTAGCAATAGTAGGCTCCGGCGAGCCAGCAGAGACAAACCCAGGCCGCCACGGGGTGATAGGAACCCGGCAGAGGAGGAGACAGCAGGTGGAGGAAGAGCGTGAAGGCTTTCCACGCGATGGGCTGCGGGGAGTCGCCATCAGGTGTGTGAAGTAGGGACGTAGCCACTCCAAGGTGGATTTGAGGGGAAGGTTCCTATCGCAGATGTGAGGGAGAGTACAGCCGGAGGCATCTGGGAAGGCGCAGAGGCGACATCTATGACTAGATTGACCGTGGTCAACGGCGGGTTGGGCCACGGGAGGGCTGGGGGAGGGGGAAGAGAAGGAGAGAAAGGAGCAAGAGGGAAGGGGGCCGGAGAAGACGGAGAGACCCAGAGGGTGCGTAGCTGGGGTTATAAGGGAATGAGAAGGTGGGGAAGGGCAGCTCCCGTGCGGGGGAAAAAATTTAGAGTAAGGGGCAGGGTGGGAAAACCGCACTGCGAGGAGCCACAGGTAGCCGTGAATCCGAGGGAGCCTGGGGGCCAGCGTCCACTTTGGCATGCCAGGAAGTACCACAAATAGCCGTTTGTCCTGTGTCCTGACCTGACATCTGCCATGTCAATACCCGGAAAATTGAATTTGTATCCATCATGAAAAGAAAAGGTGGACCGGACCTATGACGATGTTGCAACTAGAAACAAAACAACAACAACAAAAAGGCTTTATTCGTTGTTGTTTTTTTTTGGGGGGGGGGGGGGGGGGTTTATTTGTATATTCTATGGTAGTTCTGTCAGGTGTATAGGGCTGGCAAAGATTTCCCCCCATTCTGTAGGCTGTGAGTTCATCTAAGTCATATATAACTAAGGGTGAATTTGAATTCTGATTTTCCTGGGCATCTGGCTTAGGAAGCTTCTGACCGTCTCTGTCCTACCTGGCTGGGTATTCGGGATTACTGTTTTTAACCTTACTTCCTTTTTTTTTTTTTTTTTTTTTTTTTGAAACTAGACGAGGTAGAAAGAGATGCGGCTCAGCATGCGCTAGCAGAGCATCGCACGCAAACCCCCACCCCACCCCCACCCCGCCCCCGTTTCCGTCTGCGACAAACCCGCCGCGTGCGTGCAGCTTGGCCGGGGCGGAAAAAAAAAAGAAACGCCCCGTACAGAAAGCCCCCCCCCCCCCCCCGGAAAACCACCTCCCAACGCCTTTCGAAAGGCTTGCACCAATGCAGACGCGGAACAACCTCGTGTGAAATTCGCTCTTTCTCCCCCCCTCCCCAAATACGCAAAAAAAAAAAAAAAAAAAAAAAAAAAAAAAAAAAAAAAGGCATCGCGTGGCCGGGTAGGTCCTTGTAGGAAGAACTGGTCTCAGCTTCGGTTTCCCCGGGAGTGCTGGGGCGGAGGTGGAGGGAGGGCGGCAGAGGCTAGGTGAGGGAGAACCGAATTTCAGCTGCGGAAGGGCAAGCGGGGGGCGAGGTGACGGGGAGGCGGAGGAGGGATGGGGTGTAGGGTGGGCGAGCTTGATGACCCGGGGAGGCGCAGAAACGGGCCCCCCGTTTGGAGAGCAGCGGGGTGGGGGGCTCGTGCGCCCCACAAGCCCGGAGGGCGGCCTCGGAGCGAGAACCTAGGCAGGGGGACGCCGTCGGCTTCTGATTGGAGAAAGCAAAGGGGCGGGAGGGGGAGGGGAGGAGGGGTCCGCACTCTCCTCCCGCTTCACCGGGTCCCAAGTCCGTCCTGGAAGTTTGTCTGGACGCAACGCTGAAGCCGCTGGTCGGACAGACCTGCCCACGAAGGAGAGGGGATGGGCTGGCCCGTGGGTAGGCAGAGGTGGCCTGCCTTCTCAGCCCTGCACCCCGGGGGCACGAAAACACACCCAGGGTGGATTTACCCAGCCTGCTGCGCCCTCGCCCTGCCTCCGAACTGTCTTCGCGGCTGTTACAGTGGATGCGCGTACATGGACCGTCGGGAGCTCTTCCTTCTGGTAGGAAAAGCTGGGGGCGGTGGCCGCCGCGGGGACCGTCTAAGTTCCTGGGGTGTGGGCCCCCGGGCGCCTCGGAGTCACAATGGATCATCCCAAATAACGGCGAAACTATTGGAGCGCGGCGCGCGCGCGAAGCTGGGTCCAGCGCCTGGGCGGAGGCTGTGGGATGTGGGCGGGCACGGGCCCGCAGCCTTTTCCTGCTCGGGTCCGGACCCGCGCTGGGCAGTCGGTGGAGATGGGGCCCGAGCGAGCGGCGATGACTCCCAGCTAGTGAGTGTCCGCGGGCCCGGGGGAGGAACCGGGGTGGGGGCCGGGGCAGCCCGGGGGGGCGCCTTCGCTTGGGTGGCAGCAATCGCCGGGCACAGCGCGTGCTGCGGGGGGTAGGAGCTCCCGCCCCACCTCCCCATCCCCATGTCTGGGCTGGGGCGCGTGCAAACCCGGAACCGGCCCCTCGTGGGAAAACCAGACCCGGAGGTGGCCAAGAGCGCACCTGGGGCGGGTCCGCGCGGGGGGGGGGGGGGGGGTGCCCGGGGGGGGGGGGCCGGGTGCCCCGCCAGCAGCCCCCCACACCCCGAGGCGGTAGGATGCGGGTTTAGGCAAGTGCTGGAGCCCGCGGTCCCCCCAGTCCCTGCCAGGGAGGTCCATGGCAGCGCCCCCGCTGACCCAACGATTTCAGAATGTTGGAAATCGTTGGGTCTCGGAGTGAGACGCTCGGCTGTACCCCGGTGCGCCTGCCACAGCACCAGCCGCCGGAGAGGCTCGGAGGAACTTAAAAAATGAACGCGGAAAAAACAAACAAACAAACAAACAAAACAGTATTTGGAAGCATTCGATTAATTTTTCCAAAAAATGCATAGAAGATTCGGAAACGAGTGTTGTGAGTTAGAAATCAGTCTTGTACCTCACCCCCGCCCCAAAAGTTATTTTCTCTGGAAAAAAATATTTTTTTCTCCTCAAATACAAATGCAGCTAAGGGGGGATGCTAGTAGCTTGCCTGACCTCCAGGAAGCCCTGGGCTCCATCCCAGCTCCTTGGGAGGCAGAAGCCTAACAAGTCTGAGGTCAGATGGAGATCCTTGTCTCAAAACTTTTTAAAATGGGCCGAGGGTGTTGCTCAGGGGTCCGGCGCTTGCTGACTAGGCACCAAGACCTGGGTTCATTTTCTGTTTGTTTGCTTTTAAACCGCTCACCTGTTCGACAAAGGATGCCGGGAGAAAGGGGAAGGAGGTCGATTCCCGCAGTGCCCTTTGCCCATTGCTAAGGGCTTCAAGAATCCAGAGTCCTTCAGTTTTCTTGTAGCTTCCTCCTTCCTGCAGGAGGGAGTGAAGGCGAAGCTGGGACGATGCCAGTGAATTTAAGGCGGGCACAATTTGGGGGGCAAGCTTCGTTTTTCCTCCACTTAACAGAAGGCTAGAATTGTACCTTTAGATCTACGATTTTCATCCCCACTGTTTGCTCTTTTCCTGTCTCTGTTGTGGTCAGTGTGGCCTTCGGGAAACACCTCTTCCAACCTCTGACTTTCTACTTCTGAAATGGGCTAGTTTTCCCCCTCAACACCCACTCTGGCAACCGGGGAAGAGGCTGTTGTCCCGTAATGTTAATTATTACATTCATTTCAGAAGCGTTCAAACATTCATTCCGAATGTTTGTAGTTATTCCAGACGATCAAGATCACCTTTTTGCTACATTGTAAGTTTGAGGGCAGCCTGGGCTACAGAAGACCTTGTCTCCAAAGGCCGGAAAAAGTTCAGTTCCGTTTATACCCTATGGGGCATCCAGGAGTGATTATATTTCTGTGTAAAGGGGACAGAAAAGCCTGATTGAAGGGGAGAAGGAAACAGGGCCGACATGGAGAGATAACTCGTTTGTTCCCTGTGCCGCTCCTACTCAAGGTGCCTCTGCTGAGTTCTAGCTTCTTCTAGCAGCTCCTATGAAGAACTGCTGATATCTCCATTTTACAGTTGGGGAAACTGAGGGAGAAGGTTGTCTGAGGACCAGCCTGGAAGGAGCCGATTGGATTTTAGCTTAGTGCGATGGGTTTCGATTGTTTTGGACACTTACTGGAATTTCGTTTAGCAAGTGTTGGGGAGCTGGAGAGACGGTTCAGTCGTTAAAAGCGCTCTAGAGTTTGATTCCCAGCACTGATGTCTAGCAGGCCATGAGTACCCGTGGACTCCAGCTCCAAGGGGGTCTGAAATTCTCCTCTGGACTCCTCAGGTACCCGCACGTATTCTCACACTCTGTCTCTCTGTCTCCCTCTCTCTCTCTTACACATACACATACTTAAAAAAACAACACCCCCAAAGCCAGATGTCGGATGGCCCTTACTATGTGCTGAATGTGTCTTACAAGGCCCTGGAAATACAAAAGTCCCAACTTCTTGGGGAATCGGGTGTTAACTGTAGTGTATTTGACATAAGCATCAAATCAGATGTCACGAGCAAAGACTTTCAGTCCAATATTACATACCCCCCCCCAACCTTGAACAACACATTTCTTTAAATGAGCTCAAAGGAACTCCCGTGAAATTGGGACTTTCTGAGGACTGCTCTTGCCTGCAGGGCATGCACACAGGGGTCGGAGGACAACTTTTCTCCTTCCTTATTGGTTACAGGGGGGTCAGACTCATGTCATCAGGGTGGAAAACACCTTAAAATGTTGCCCACTTTCCCTCCCCCTTCCTTCTCTTCTTCCTTCCTTTTTTCTTTGTAAGTTTGAGATGGAGTCTCACGTAGCCCGGGCTGGCTTTGAATTCACTATGTACCCAGAGATGACCTTGGATGTCGGAACCTTCGTCTACCTGCGTAGTACTGGGATCAAAAGCAGGAACCACTGTGGCCAGGTTTAACACTCCTTTCCTCTTTGGAAAAGAATTATTTTGGTAACAAGTGAATAAGCAATAATTGTTTTCTTGTGTCTTTTATTTTTGTATTTACTTATTTATTGTGTGTGTATACTGTGAACATCTTCACAGTGGTGCGTGTTTTGGGGGTCAGAGGCAGCGTTGTTTTTTTTTTGTTTTGTTTCCCCTCTTCAGTGTGAAGTGTACTTCCAGGCTACCTGGTGCAAAAGCTTCCTGATGATTCTCCTTGTCTCCCTTCCCTTATGATGTTGGTTTTGTCGTTTTGTTTGTTTGTTTTTGACACAGGGTCTCACTGGGTAGCCCGTCCTTGGACTCAATATTGAGACTGGCCTCAAAACTCACAGCCCTCTGCCTCACAAACACTGGAACCAAAGGCGTGCGCCACTGTGCCTGGAGCCCTCTTCCCCATATTGGTATGAATGCTGAGACTACAGAGGATGTTACTGCATTTGGCTTTCTAAGTGGGTTCTGGGGTCAAACTCAGGTCATCAGGCTCCCACAGCGACTGATTTTGCCAGGGGAGCTAGCTTCCCGGTTTTTCTTTCACTTTAGGGTGACTAAAGTTACACTCTTCAGAGATTTTTTTTAAAATTGGGTGAAGTATGTATGAATGAAGGGTTAAGGAAGGCCAGGGATAGAACTCAGTGGTACAGTGCTTGTCTAGTTTACATGAGGGCTGTATGCTCCCAAAGGGGGCGGGGAGCTCAGTGAGCTAAGGTGTTTCATTCATACTTAATAGAATATTCCCAGGCTGGGCTGCGGTGGCGCACACCTTTGGTCCCAGCGCTTGGAAAGCAGAGGCAGGCGGATCTCTGAGTTGGAGGCCAGCCTGGCCTACAGTTTTTGTTTTTGTTCATTTGTTTTCTCCTTTTGGAGGTGCTGACCCCAGTGCCTTGGAAACGTTAAAGTGCATTCTCTGCTATGGAGCTACATGTGGCTTTCCTCCACATACAAACAAAACCACCACTATGAAACACACACACACACACACACACACACACACACACACACACACACCCCATATTAGGCTTGGCAATTTGCTCTGTTTTGACTTTCTAAGTTTTCATTTGTTCTTTGAGACAGGGTTTTCTATAGCTCAATCTGAGACTTCAGACTTGCTTTGTAGCGCAGGCTGGCCTGATCTTTCTGTCTCATGGTATTTAAAATTTTAAGCATCAATTAAAACCTCAAGTACGGGCTGGAGAGATGGCTCAGAGGTTAAGAGCACTGTGTCTGCCTTTCCAAAGGTCCTGAGTTCAATTCCCAGCAACCACATGGTGGCTCACAGCCATCTATAATGAGATCTGATGTCCTCGTCTGACCTGCAGGCATATATGCAGACAGAACATTGTATACATAATAAATAAATCAATCTCAAAAAAAAAAAAAAAAACAACCAAAAAACCTCAAGTACAGTGAAACTCATATTTCCTCTTCACAATCACTGCTCTCAGGATCTCCATGCTTGTTTCACATCTGCTTCAGGAAGTAGCCACTATGAGAAGCACAAAGTGTCCTCTATTCTGGCCTGGTATTGTTCCACAGCCACAATCCCTTATTATAGAGGCTTCAAAGGTCAGAAGCTTGTTTCTGGCTAGAGAAACCTTGGTTGTTGTTGGGTTTTTTTTTTTTTTTTTTTTTTTGGGGGGGGGGAGTGTTTTGTTTTAAACAGGTTAAACAGCACCAAACAAAATTCTGCTCTCTAAAACAGAAAAACAATACATGTTATAAAATTAATTCAATGGCAAGCTTTGTTGTAGTAAATAAAAAAATGAGTGTTGGGCTATATAATGTTTATTATTATTATCATCATCATCATCATCATGGTGTTATTATTTAACCTGCTTATCACAAATAATAAGATACAGACACCTGTTAGATTTTATAATTGCCTTATTTACCTTGGGCCAGGCAGATAGTTCAATAACCCCAATATCCATCTCCCAGCCCCCATCCAATGCCATCCACCTAATTCCTCCTCATCTGGTCTCCCTTCCATCCACACTCCCATGGTACTTGCTTGCATTCTTCATCTGGGCCTTTTCACGCCATCATTGGAGTCCTTCCTCCTCACCGACGTGGTTCCTTCTCCAGGCTAACCGGTCATGGCGTCCTCCTTCCTCCTCTCATCCGGTCTGTCTGTGTCCCATGATTCTCCTGCCCTCTCCAGTCCTGGGAACCTTAGCCTCATCTACCCCATTCCGCCCTTCCATAAAGCATTTAATCAACCAATCATATATAATGACTTGGGCAGGTTTACACAGCAAGGATAGGTTTATACAACAAGGACAGGTTTAATCAGATCTTGAGGACTAGCATCAGAACAACCCCCAACAAAGCTTATTCTTGTAAAGAATCCAGGTAGCCTTGTGTGTGTGTGTGTGTGTGTGTGTGTGTTTGTGTGTCTG